AGGGTGGCTTTTAAAATTAGCCTGGCTAACCAGATCTGGTTATTTCAGGAGGCTCCATCCCCGGCCGTCCCCTTGGCAGGGCGTGCAGGGAGGGACCTCCACATTCCAGGGTCCCTGGTTAAGCACCCCCGTGGCCTGGGCAGCAGGGAACATCCAGGTCCCAGTCCCCTGGCCCCGGGCGGGCCTGTGCCTGCGGCATCTCGTTGGTAACGCGGCCCCAGGGCCAGCCACGGTGTCCAGGGACAACAGCGAGGCCCCTGCCAGCAGGACCTGTGGGGCGTGGGTTCTAGGCCGTGTGCCCCCCGGGGCCGTGCTAGCCTCCTCACAGGGCGAGGCAGGGCCTAGTCCCCACCTTACAGGTGAGGACAGCGAGACCGGGGGAGACAGGCTCCTGCTCTGAGGCAGAGACGGGGTGCCAGGTTTGCCAGGCGCCCAGGCCTCTCCGCAGGAGGCCTCCTGCCTCCTGCGTCGGGAGAAACCTCTGGCTGCCGGCTCCACCACCAGAGCTATTTCTAAGCCGAGTCCAGCACTTCCCGGAACCCGGTGCCCCCCGCCCACGCCTAATTCCAGCCTCGGACGGTGTCCCGGCTCGCCCTGCCCACCTCATAACCAGGGTGAGCGCAGCCCTGGCACGGGTGCAAGAGAAACAGCCCTGGACACTTTGATCCCCAAGGCCGGGCTCGTCCGCAGCGGCACTGGCACAACCCAGGGCAGAGGCAGGTTCTGCTGTCCAAGCTGCCTGCGTCTGCCCCACAGACCCCAGGGCTCCGGCTCGGCTGTGGGTCAGAGCCGGGGCGGGGGTGGGGGGCACATTGTAAAGGGACACGAGCGGGTGCCCACCCTCTTTTATAAAAGGGACACCGACCCCCTGGGACAGCAGGAAGCTGAGGCCCAGCCCCGAAGCCTCAGGTCGGACATCCGTGCCCGGCCAGGGCCTCCGTCCTCCGGGCTGAGCAGGGACCCTGCCCCTCTGATGTGGGTTAGGGATGTGGTCCTCATTCCGGCTCTTCGCCACCACACACACTATTTTGGGAGCCCACCACGGGCCAGGGCTGAACCAAGTAATGGAGGAAGTGTCCCCTCACCGAACCCTCCCATCAGGGTGCCGAGGTCAGGGCTGCCCGCCTCCCCACTGCACAGATGAGGAAACTGAGGCCCGAAGACCCCAAGTCACAGAGCTAAGATGACCTCAGAGCCACCAGTTCTCCCTCCAGTTCTTGACCTGGGTGCTGATCTGTGGCTGCTGGTCCTTTGGGGTGAGGTGGGAGGAGACAGGGGAGGGACTGAGACAGAGTTCTGAGGAGCCGGGACCCGGGCAGGGGTGGGGAGGTCAGGGCACAGGGGTGAGGCTGAGCAGGGTTAGGGCCAGGAGGGGACCCACCGAGCCCAGGCCAGCCTAGAGCCAAGCTCAGTGGGTAGGACTGTGGGGCCCCAGACACTAAGGGCCAGAGGGGGGTCCCTGTCAGGCAGCCCCTGGGTGCACTCAGCATCGTCCTGCGGAGGGCGTGGGGGCAGGTGGTGGGGCGGGAGGGGGCTGCAAGGCTGTGAGGAAGACCAGGGCATGTCCGATCCCACCGGGACCCGATCCTGTGCCTACTCCCAAGCCCAATAGCCTCCAGCTCACCTCCACCTGCTCTCCCTCCAGCTCACGTCCTCCAGCTCACCTCCTGCTCTTCCTCCTGCTCTTCCTCCAGCTCACCTCCTGCTCTTCCTCCTGCTCTTCCTCCAGCTCACCTCCTGCTCTTCCTCCTGCTCTTCCTCCAGCTCACCTCCGCCTGCTCTCCCTCCAGCTCACCTCCTCCTGCTCACCTCCTGCTCTTCCTCCTGCTCACCTCCTCCTGCTCTTCCTCCAGCTCACCTCCTCCTGCTCACCTCCTGCTCTTCCTCCTGCTCACCTCCTGCTGCTCTTCCTCCTGCTCACCTCCTGCTCTTCCTCCTGCTCACCTCCTCCTGCTCTTCCTCCTGCTCACCTCCTGCTCTTCCTCCTGCTCACCTCCTCCTGCTCACCTCCTCCTGCTCTTCCTCCTGCTCACCTCCTCCTGCTCACCTCCTCCTGCTCTTCCTCCAGCTCACCTCCTCCTGCTCTTCCTCCTCCTGCTCTCCCTCCAGCTCACCTCCTCCTGCTCTTCCTCCTGCTCACCTCCTCCTGCTCACCTCCTCCTGCTCTCCCTCCACGCTCCCATCTCAGAGACCCACCCCTTCACCCAATACAGGCCGACCCGTGAGAGCCTCCTCAACTCCCCTCGGCCCCACATCCCCGCAGCCCTTCATCAGGGGCTCAGACCCCCTAATGCCTCCCGGGGTCCTTGGTCCTCCCTCCCTGTCCCGGCACTGCTCAGCCAGTCTCCGCAGAGCCTCCGTGCTCCTCACAGCACTCTCTGTTCCAAGTCCTCCAGGCCCCCTGCTGCCCTCAGCACAAAGCCCTCTTCCTCGGCTCTTCTCCATCCATCTCCCTGTCCCCTCAGCCATTACATCCCGTCATCAGAGCCATGACTTTCTGCTCCAAGCGCCCTCTCCCCACCCTTGGGGACACTTTCCTAAGTCCGATCTTCCCCTCAGGGGGCCGGCCCCCTGCTCACACACACACACACACACACACACACACACACACACACACACACCCTCACTTATCACCCTTTGCTGTGACTGCCCTGCACTGTGAGCTCCTCCGAAGTGGGACGAACTCGGCCCCAAGGGTCCCAGTAAGCGATCCCTGGGCGCCCCCTGGTGGCCACAACGGAGAAATTCTTGGGCTTCAAGGAGCACGAGGGGGAAGTAAGTTGACCATTGAGAGCCCACTGGATCCTCTTGGGAGAGCCACTGTCACTCCCACTGAACAAACGTGGACCCTGCGGCCAAAACCGGTTTGGCTCAGTGGATAGAGCATTGGTCTGCGGATTGAAGGGTCCCAGGTTCAATTCCAGTCAAGGGCATGTACCTTGGTTGCGGGCACATCCCCAGTAGGGGGTGTGCAGGAGGCAGCTGATGGATGTTTCTAGCTCTCTATCCCTCTCCCTTCCTCTCTGTAAAAAATCAATAATAATAATATATATATATATACACACACATATATATATATATACATATATAAATATATATACATATATAAATTTTATATATAAAATTTATATATACATATATATACATATATAAATTATATATATATACATATATATATATACACATATATAAATTTTTTTTAATGGACCCTTTGGCTCCAAGGAGCTAGTAAGTTCCCCAATGCCGCCCAGCGAGCAGATGGTGCCAAGGACTCAGACCTGGGTCAGTCGAACGCAAAGCTGCATTCTCCCCATGGAGAAGGGGCCCAGGGGGAGCCACGGCTGCTGGTTACAGAGCCTGTGGCTCAGCCTCAGAGGTGCCCTGGACCCCGCAGCTCTGATGGGGGTTTGGGGGCCAGGCCTTCCCTCCATTTCAGTGCCAGTGAGACCTGGGGTAGGTCGGAGCGCGGTTCACGCAGAGCCAGGTCCATCTCGGGGTACAATAGCGATAAATAGAATTTATTTTGTACAACTGTTACCAACATACACACAGCCACGGGGCTTCCCGGGCGGGTGGTGAGGCGGGAAGGCTGGCCTCGGCCGTGGCGCCTAAAAAGTGTGGACACACACACACACACACACACACACACACACACACACACGAGAAGGACTCACAGCAGCTGTGCCTGGCAGCCCCCTCCGTGGGAACGGGGGGTTGCCACGGAGAGACCTGTCATGCCAGGCCAGCCGGGACCACTCAGCCTGGAGCGCCCAGAACATGGGATGGCAGAGGTGAAGCTGGGAGCTGGCTGAGGGGCGGGGAGGTGCCCCCCTCCCACCAGGGGGCTGCTTGTCTGTCACGTGGAGGCAGTGGACGGGGCGTCGGCAGGTCTGTGGCAGAGCTGAAGGGTCCAGGAGGGGCAAGAGGCATCGCCGGCTCCCTGCCCCTCGGCCCACCGGGGGCCGGAGCCCCGCGAAGCAGGATGGGGTGACGGATGGGAGGCCCCTGGGAGGACGGTCTCCCATCCTGGGCAGGTGCACGGAACCGCAGTCCGCGGTGACCTCTGAGGTGATCTGGTCCACGGGCAGCAGAGGGGCCCGGAGACAGAGCCCAGAGCCGCACGGCAGGACCCAGCTCAGAAGCCGGGGCTCGGGACGCAAGATCCCCAGCCTGGAGCTCACTCCGTCACACCTCAGCCCCCGCTGCCTGGAGGCTCTGAATGCACGGAGAGACCCCGGGCCCCCCTCGCATCTTGCTCCCCTGGAGTCGAGAGGGGCACCAAGGTGTGACGGGGGGCCTGGGTCGGGGCGAGCAGGGCCTGGAATCCTGCTGCAGCTGACCACTCCCGGCCCAGCCCGGCCCCCAGCCCGGGGAGGAAGGAGGATGCCAGCAGCTCCCCCACTCCCAGGTCTGGATGGCTCCGCCCTGCAGAGACGGCCCAGGCGGTGGGCCAAGGGAAGGGTGGGGGAGGCCGGGGGCAGCCCCCAGGCTGGTGGTGGCCTTGGGGGCCGAGGTCTTGTCTGCCTGGATCTGACCCGGCATCTTCACCTTGTGTTTCTTCGACCTCATCTGTGGGGTAGAGGGAGATGGAGACACCACGGAGCAGGGAGCCGCCCCCCCTCCGAGCTCCAGGCTCTAGGCCTTTCCACCCCCCTGGGAACCCTCCCCCCCCCCCCAGACCCACCCTTCCCAGCAACTCCCAAGTCCCTTTCAGGCCCCACCAAATCCTCCCAGGAGCTCGTGGGCAGAAGGGAGGAAGCACTGGTTAGCCCCATTGCACAGAGAAGGAAACTGAGGCCCAGAGAGGGGCCGATGACCTGCCCAAGTCACTCAGTAGCTGAGTGGCGGAGGATTCGAACCCAGGCACAAAGCTCTCCGCCGAGACACAGGACAGAGGGACAGGGAGAAACTGGCCCGCTCCCTCGCCACTCCCGCCCTCCCCACCGAATGAGCGCGGAGGGCTGGGTCTGACCTGCTCGGCACCTTCCGAGGGGGCCTGGCTAACAGCCCTGCACAGACAGAGTGGCGGCGCGCAGGGGACAGGACAGGTGGCGTGGAGCAGAAGACAGGCAAGCAGAAGTCACTGGCCGTGCCCAGGCCGAGGAGCCCAACCCCGCCGGCCTAGGGGGACCTCTCAGCCCAGGCCCCGTCCCTGGCTCCCCCCGGTGGCCGCACGCACCAGCTGGGACGTGTGCTGCTCAGCCGCTTCCAGCTGGATCTTGATCTCCGGACACGCAGGGTCCCCCGACTTGCCGGCATCTGGGTGGGGCGACCGCGAGGGGCCTGGGGAGGGGGGCAGGAGGGAGCCACCTCACTGGCCGCGGGGAGGCACCAGGGAGACGGGTATGGATGGGTGGTCGGCACTGGTTGGTGCTCCCCAGCCCCGCCAAGTCCTCCCTCACCCCGGGGAACCCCGCTCTCACTCCCAACCCTCACCCCCATCATGTTCTGAGACCCTTCCAGAAGCGACCAGCCCTCCAAGCCCACCCCATCATCTCGGGCTCAATGACGACCCCGCCATGACATACCCACCCCCTGGGGCATGAGCCCCGGGTCTCCACCCTCAGTGCCCAGCCCTGACCCCTCCGGCCACAAGCACCAACCAGCCCGGTACCTGGGGAGCTGCCCCCACTCGTGGTGCTGACACTGTCCTCCAGCCACGTGCTGTAGATGAAGGAGTCCCGCTTGTGCGGAGTCCCCGAGGACGAGATGCTCTCCTGGGATCGCAGGGCGGAGAGTAAGCGGGGGGTCAGCCTGGGCCAGGGCCCTGGCTCGGCTCCCCTCCCCTTGGGCCCCCTTTGCCTCCCTGCGAAGGGGAGGGGCCCACCGTCTGCTCCAGGGAGGCCCCAGGAGGACAGAGCGGGAACGGGCTCACACCACACTCGCCCATTCGTTCCCTCAGCCATCGTTCACTGACGTTCTCGTGGGCCAGGCCACCGAGAGACGTGGGGCAGGTCCCTGCCCTCCGAGACCGGAGTCTAAGAGGCGAGGCAGCTGGGGAGAGACTACGGCCACCACACCAGGTCCCGGCCCATCGGGAGGGCCGGTCTGCGCCGCTCCTTGCGGTGCCCGGAGCACCCGGGACAGGCCCGGCAGGGGAGCAGGTGCCCAGCGCAGGGGTGTGGAGTGAAGAATGACCAACGGGGGCTGAGGGCAGAGCCCGGGGTCTGTGAGGCACCAAGAGGGCCTGGGACACCGGAGAGACTTACAAGAGGAGGCCATGGGATGCCGAGCCGGGAAGGGGGAGCAGGACTCAGACAAAGAGGAAGGAGAAGGAGGCGGAGTGTGTTCCAGGGAAAAAGGGCCCGTGCAGAGGCCCAGAGGTAGAGTCAGCCTCGTGGGTGTGGGGGATTGCAGAGGGTGCAGAATGGCTGGAGTGGCAGGAGATGAGGCTGAGGCGGGCAGGAGGGGGTCTTCAGAGGTCTCAGGGATTGGGCCCCCCTTCCCCTGCGCTGGGGAGCATGGGAGATCAGAGTAGGGAGGGTCAGTCTGCAGTATTCCTCCCGGCTGGGTCCCCGGATTGCATCTCAGCCACAGCCAGCCCCCTGCTTCCACCAAAGAGGGCCACTGTGGGGGAGCCCCGGCTCCCGGGCCTCTCACCAGGCCGGTGTCGTCCCCGTCCACACCCTCCGTCTCCTCCACCACGCTGGCGAAGCTGCTGGCGCTGGACGAGGAGCGGGAGAAGTCCTTCAGCACCTCGGCTCTCTGGGCTGCTGTCTCCGCTCTGCCACAGACAGCACCCATCAGCCAGCACCCACTCAGGGCCCCTCCCGGGCCGGGCCCGGGGAGGCCTGCCTACGGCCTGCTTTATAGCTGCCCAGGCCTCTGAGCCGCCTCCGGCCACTGTCCTCCTCACTATGCGGATCTGGTCCTGTCCCTCCGCTGCTCAAAACCCTCTCAGGGCTCCCACGGCCCCCGATAAAGTCCGATTTCCTTGCCTTGGTGCACAATGATAACTATTAATATTATCATGTAGTGCACATTTGCTCTGTGCCAGGCACTGTTCCACGTTATTTTTGCCCGAATGATCCCACTGTTATCGCTACTGGACCCACCCTACAGATGAGGAGACACCAAGGCACAGAGAGGGCAGGCCCATGGTCCAAAGTCCCCCAGCTGCAGGGGGGAGGACAGACAGGACCCAGCTTCCGACGCCGCAGTGTGCGCACGGCCCTCCCCCGATTTTGTTCCACGCTCGGGACTTTGTGTTTCCCGAGGGGAGTCTCACTCTGCCCGTCAAATCCCTCGGAGCAAATTAATCTTTCAAACACCAGCGAGGGCCCCCTCCTCAGGGAGGCCCTTCCTGATTCCTCCTCGCACGGCAGGGCGGCCCTCCCGGCTCTGGCTCCTGCACACCCTGCCTCTCACCATCCCTGTCACCCTGCCCTGCTTCTCCCTGCACCTGCCTGACGTTCTGTCTGGGCTGAGGCAGAGTCAGCAGAGAAAGGCTCAGCCAACGAGAGCCGAATGGAGGAGCTTCCATTCCCTCCCTCACCCCAACCCTTCACTGGGCCTGGCCCCTCAGGCCCTCGGCTCAAGGCACCGCCCTCCTTCCATCCTCCAAGCATATCCCAGGCCTCTGCACTGGCTGTGCCGCTTACCTGGAACCCTCTTCCCTCGCCCCCTCTGTCAATGTCTTGCTTGAGCATCCATATGACCCCCTGCCCCCAAGTCATTCTTCATCGCGTCCCCTGCTTTGCTCTCCTCTCACCACAACTCTCTGGAAATAGCTTCCTGGGTCATGTTACACCCCCCACGTTTGCCCAGGTCGCCCATGTATTCCAGAGCGGTGGTGGGTGGGTGTCAACGGAGGACCCGAGAGAGTGCCCGGGCCTCCCCCACACCCTGGGGTGGCAGGGTCCATGCTCCTGGCCTCCCCCAGCCCAGGTGGGGATGGAAAACATGAGCCCACCACCCCCAAGCCCCGGCCCGGTGAGCCCTGGCCCCAGCGTACCTGTTCTTGGTGGTTGGCATCTCGGGGGAGCTCTGAGTGGAGGAGTTCTCTGACTTCGGCTCCTGGGAGACATGCCCGCTGTCTGGGGTCTTCTGGCCAGCCGGGGGGCTCTCCCTGCGGGCACATGGGGCGGCGGGGGATGAGGCCTGGCATCAGGGTAGGATGAGGCCCAGGTGGTGAGAAGAGGTCATGGGCACTTCCTGCCTCATACCCACACTCTGTACACTCAGGGGCCAGACCCAGGGCAGTCCCTGCGGCTAATGGGCCGGGCCTGGCAGGCACCTCGGAGAACCTTCCTAAGACAGGACACCCCGATTCCCGCCTCTCCAAGGGACAGGTGTGATTGTCCCTCATGGATCAGAAAACTGGAGCCCAGGGATGGGAGGGAACCTGCCCAGGATGCACAGCCAGAACGTGCCAAAACCAAGACTTAAACCGGGATCTGCAGGACTCTGGGCCCTCCTGCCCACGAGGACTGTGCCAGCAGCATTCCTGAGCCTCCATGTGCCCACCCCCCGCTTCACATGCAGAGCGCCACACCCCCGCACCAGCCCCAGGATGTTGGTGTGTTCTTATCCTCCTTTTTCAGGCTGGGACAGCGAGGCTCAGAGAAGTGCAGTGACTTACCCAAGGTCACACAGCCCGATGGTGGTAAAGATGGGATTCACACCCAAGAACTACCCCTGGCTTCCCAGGAGCTGCCATGCTGTTACTACGGCATGCTGCCCACCGCTGCCCACACAGAGGTTCTCAGAGACCCCCACAGACTAGCCGAAACTCCCAGCTCTGCCCCGCACTGGCTGTGTGAGCTGGGCAGGCCCCAAGCCCGCTGATCTGCAGCGTCCCGGTGTGCAAGGCGGGACCCCAAGGAGCCAGCAGAACTGCTGAGCAGCCGGAAGCACTTTACGTGAGGTGATGAGCTGGCACGGCGCCTGGCACCCAGCAGGGACTGGCATGGACAGCTGTCACCAGTGAGGGGCAGAGGGGCAGAGGGCAGGCACTCCCTCCTGCCTGCTCCGCTCTGCCCCTGCGTGGGGGTCCCCGCCGCCCGCTCACCCACCTCTTCTCCTGCACCTCCTGGATGTTCTCGATGCCGATGGCGCTGCTGCGGCGAGAGCCGAACGGGCCTGACTTCTTCCTCGTGGGGCTCTTCCCGGGGACGATCAGTGACTGCGAGGAGAGCCCCCAACTCAGTCCCACCTGCCCCGGCGGCCCGGGGGCCCCCACATGCCACCCCAGCCCTGCTGCTCCAGGCCCCGAAGCAGAGGCAACGAGCAAGAAAGAACAGAAGAAACCGTCCAAGTCCGGAGACAGCCCTCCCCCTGCACAGAGGGCCCCCCCCAGGTGACACTGCCCGTGGGGGCCCAGGGGCTGCGGCCACTCCCAATGGCCATCCCCCCACCCCAGGGCTTCCAGGACCTGCGGCCTAAGGCCAATGGGGCGTGGGTATAGCAACCAAGCCCACACCCCAGGCTGGGGAAGGTTCGGGCCGGCAGCTGGCAGATACCCCCATTTGCACACACACAGAAGCAGGCCTCCCATCTTCTTGGGGGAATCAGGAAGGTGGGTCCCAGGGAGGCAGGAAGGGCAGGAACCCCCAGACCAGCTCATGGTCAAGAGGAGAGGGATGGCACTTCATGCAGAACTGGCGATATTGGGGGGCGAGCAGCCGGGCAGAGGGTCTGTGGGCGTCAGATCCTGGCGGGGACTGGGCCAGGAACCTGTGGGCCAGGACAGGCCCAGGAGCCTCTGGCCGGGGGCACCGGCTCTGGCACAGGGACCAGGCCCCAAAGCAGGTGCTGGGTGCCATCAGAGCTGCAAGCACTCCGACCTGCGTGCCCCTGCCCTGTCCCCGAGGGAGGGGCAGCATCCCCAATATGGCCTTCGTCCTGAGAGCGAGCAGAGGGCAGCGCGTGCAGGCAGGCTCCAGAGCCCCGCGGGCGACAACCTCTTCCACGGTTCCTATGCCTATGGCACTGCCCCGGCGTCCGAATCTACTCGCACTTTTCCCGGGAATAAGCAAAGACTGGCAAGCAGCAGAGGAGGGGCAGAGACAGACGGACAGACATAGAGGGTCGGAGAGAGAGAGAGAGAGATGGCAGGAGGGGAAACAGAGGTGACACAGGGAAAAGAGCGAGAGCGAGAGCGAGAGCGAGAGAGCGAGAGAGCGAGAGAGCGAGAGAAACAAAGAAGGGAGAGGCAGGGGGTTGGGAGGGAGAAAGAAAAGGCAGGGGAAGGGGAGAGGGGAGAGGGGGGAAGAAGGACAGAGACATGGACAAATGGACGGTTACACAGCAACAGGAACACACAGGAGGAGCCCACGAGAGGGGCCCAGAGTGGAATATAGACAGACAGACACAGAGATGGGAGGGGACAGATGAAAAGGGGAAGGGAGGGAGAGACAAAAAGGAAGAAGCAAGGGAGGGAGCAGTGGCAGGGAGGAGGAGGAGGAGGAGGAGGAGGAGGAGGAGGAGGAGGAGGAGGAGGAGAGGGAGTGCCCGAGGACATGAGACATAAACATGTAAGAAGTGGAGAGAGAACAAGCAGGGGAGGAAAGGGGAGAGAGGACAGGGAGAGAGGAGGGAGTGGAAGGAAAGGAAGCAACATGAAGAGAGCGGAGAGTCGTGTAAAAACAAAAACAAAAACAAAAACAAAAACAAAAATGGGTCTGGTTACTGCCATGGTGGGTGCTGCTGGCCTGGCCCTGTCTCTGGGGCCCCTCTACCGCCCCCCACGGGAGGCTGGGCCACTCCAGCCAGGACGGGGGTGGCTTGTCAATCTGGGTTTGGGGGAGGGTGGGCTCGGTGAGTGCCGGACCGCAGAGGACCTTGCTCTCTGGCCAGGCCAGATCATGGGCAGGAATTGGGGTGGGAGGTCCCTCTCACCACAAGTGACACAGCCTCACAGCACTGAGCGCAGGGCTTGGCATGCAGCAGTCAGTAAAGGATGGATGGAGGGAAGGATGGAGGGATGAAGGGATGGAGGGATGGAGGGATGGAGGGGTGGAGGGGTGGAGGGGTGGAGGGGTGGAGGGATGAACAAGGGTGGATGGAGACGGGGGGAGCAGAGCAGTGGGTGCAGTGCCAGGGGCGGCCACGGGGTGGCAGAAAGCAGAGGCCCACAACTGAAGGCCTTGCCCAACCTGCGTGCCCAGCACCCGCCCTGAGTATTAGTAGCAGAAACCCACAGAGCCTGGCAGACAGTAAGTGATCACACAGTAGGTACTCACTTAGGAGATGCTCACACGGAAGCCCACACAATTCCTGACACACATTAGGCAGCCACAGCCACCTCGGCCCTGGCACACAGGTGCCCACACGGCAGCGCAGGGCCGGGCACACAGAAGGAGGTGCGAGAGTCAGTGCTCACACAACAGCTCACTCCCCCACACATCAGGCTCGGCACACACGATGTGCTCATTCAGCGGCCTGTTTTCTGGCACACAGCAGGCTCTCACACAGCAGCCCAGGGCCGGGCACACAGCAGGTGCACACAGAGTACATGTCCACACAACAGCCCAGGACCTGACACACAGCAGGTGCTCACAGAATACATGTCCACACAACTATCCAGGTCACCACCAGCGCTTCAGCGCCAGGCACACAGCAGGTGCTCACACAGAAACCCAGGCCCTGGCACACAGAGCATGCCCACGGCCTGGCACACAGCTGGTGCTCCCAGAAATCCAAGTACAGCAGCCAGTCCCCAGCGCAGGACAGACAGCAGGAGCTCAGTAAAGAATGTGACACAGAGGCTGCCCCAGAGCTGACCCGAAGTCACACCTGCATAAGGGGCTGGGGGGAGTGGCGGGTTGAGATGCTGGGAAGGAGACGGAAGGCTCTTGGCACCACAGTGCCTGGCCTGGGCCCCTGACCCTCCCCTGGAGACGGAGACTAGAGCCAGGATAGCGGCCCCTCAGACTGCGGGGCGCTGGGGGCAGGGAGAGCCGGAGGCCCCGGGGAGGCACTCACTATTCCCGCGGCCTTGGCCAGGTCCGGGTTGTTGGGGGTGAAGCTCCCGCTGTGGCTGGTGGACACGGTGTTGGGTTTCTTGTTGCTGAGTCCCATGGCGTCCATGGACTGGCTGCGGCTCCGGATGACCCGCTGTGAGGGTGGGGAGGGGGTGGAGGAGGCACAGGTTTCTTAAACGCCTGCTCCTCGGGGAAATCCCGGAACCCGGGCCCCTGGTTCCTCCCCACCACTGCCACTCTGAGTGCCAGAAGTGCTTCCCCAAGAGGCCACGCAAGAGCCAGGCCCACACGGTGCCAGGGGGAGTTTGGACCTTGGCTCTGCCACCAACTCACCGGGTGACCTAGTTCAAGCCACTCACCCCCTGAGCCAGGGAGCCTCTTGTGTGGCTGTGGTGAGTATTAAAGAAAATGCTGGGGCCAAAACCGGTTTGGCTCAGTAGAGAGTGCGTCAGTCAGCCTGTGGACTGAAGGGTCCTGGGTTCGATTCCGGTCGGGGGCATATACCTTGATTGCAAGCACAACCCCAGTGGGGGGGGGAGTGCAGGAGGCAGCAATGAGAGTTTCTCTCTCATCGATGTTTCTAACTCTCTATCTCTCTCCCTTCCTCTCTGTAATAAAAACAATAAAAATATTTTTTATTTAAAAAAAAAAATACTGGGTCATGGCCCAAAGTGTGTACAGAGAGCTCTCCCAGAACAGTTCTCTCCTGTTAGGAAGCCTTCCTAGAGCTTCTTTAAAAAAAAAAAAAAAAAAAAAAAAAAATATATATATATATATATATATATATATATATATATATATATATATATATATATTATTGATTTTTTTACAGAGAGGAAGGGAGAGGGATAGAGAGTTAAAAACATCGATCAGCTGACTCCTACACACCTCCTACTGGGGTCATGCCCACAACCAAGGTACATGCCCTTGACTGGAATCGAATCTGGGATCTTTCAGTCCACAGGCCAACACTCTATCCACTGAGCCAAACCGGTTAGGACCTTCCTAAAGCTTCTGATCCTCCCTCCCTGCTTCTCTCAGCCAGTGCGTACTGGGGGCCAGGCACTTGGCACTGGCTCTCTCACGCCATCGCCCTGCGAGGCAGGCACCACTCCCACGCTCACTTTCCACAGGCTGAACCCAGAGCAGAAGCAAGCCTGGAGCCCGCGTCAAACCCAAATCCTTACCTGTGGGCTCGGACCAGTCCAGGTCCGCCATCTAACGCCCACACGAGGTGGGGTCCCTAGGGTCCTCTCTCAGAGGAGACACACACCCATGCTCACCTCACCCAGCCCTGTGCCCAGTGGGCAGAGGCAGGCTTTCTCCTGAGGCCTCTTTCTCAGAGTCAGCCTGCTCCCATCAGCCAGGGCAGACCTGGGCAGCGGGGCTAAGGCCCTTAAGCGAGCCCAGGGCTCCAGCTTTGTGGCCTGCAGGGATGAGCTGGGGCCCGGCACTTGGGAGTGGGTGTAGGAGACAAGGGCAGGGAAGCCACCACCTGGGGACCTGCAGCTGGCGGAGGGGAGGGGATTGCAGAGGGGTGGGGGATGGGGGGGTGTCTGGGCACTATCCAAGGAACTCCCTCTGCCTCTCACTTTGGACAACAGTTGCTGAGGTGGCTGGACAGAATTTTGCATTCTGCTCATTAACATTTATTGCACTGATCTAACTGCTTAACAAATGTCAACAACTGTATAAATTGTCATTATCCTACCGGACAAAGGAATGGAGGCTCAGAGAATGACCAAGCTGGGGTCTTAACACGGAGTCTGCGCTCTTAACACGGACCGAAACCAGAGACAGCCAGGGTGGGTCACACAAGCTGAAGGTCACCCAGGCCAGGTTCCTCTCTGATGGCCCCTTGGCTCACGCCCCATTGCAGCCCAGACACTTCAGCCTTCAGCCTAACCCTCAGGGAGCCTGGGCCACCACGCCTGGGCCCCGCCTCCAACCATGAATTCCTTCCTGGGCAGCGGCCCGATTTACAGTCCCAACTGCAAATTCCACCTCACTAATCTGGGCCCACCCTCAAGCCCAAATCCACCGAGAACCACTCCCCCACCCAACTGCACCCCTGGGTGAGCCCGCCTCTAGCCACGCCCCCACAGGCGTCCATACCCCCAGAACCATGCCCCTCTGTGAGCCCGCCTCTAGCCACGCCCCACAGGTGTCCATAACCCCAAGAACCACGCCCCCTCGGTGAGCCCGCCTCTAGCCACGCCCCCACAGGTGTCCATAACCCCCAGAACCACGCCCCCTCGGTGAGCCCGCCTCTAGCCATGCCCCCACAGGTGTCCATAACCCCCAAACCACGCCTCCACAGGTGTCCATACCCCTCAGAACCACGCCCCCACTGTTCTAGCCACACCCACACACGTGTCCATATCCCCAACCACGCCCCCCACCAACTCCGCCCCCAAGATGAGCCTATAGCCTAAGGTGACCAGATGGTCCTGCTTTTGGCGGGACAGTCCCGATTTCTTTTTTCTTTTCTTTTTCTTTCTTTTTTTTCATAATGATATTGTTTATTTCTGCCGGGACCGGTTTGGCTCAATGGATAGAGCATCGGCTTAGGGACTGAAGGGCCCCGGGTTCGATTCCGGTCAAGAGCATGTACCTTGGTTGCGGGCATATCCCCAGTATGGGGTGTGCAAGAGGCAGCTGATCGATGACTCTCTCTCATCGATGTTTCTAACTCTATCTCTCTCCCTTCCTCTCTGTACAAAATCATAATGATATTGTTTATTTTAAAAAATTTTGTATTTTGTTTCTGAATGATAAGAGAAAAGAAAGAAGATTTGATCCATTTTCTTTGATAGTAACACATTGCAAGTATGATTAGCCCTATTCCCAACAAAATATGGTTATAATTAGCCATAATATTACAAAAATAACAATTTAAAACTGGGTGTCACAATTTACACAGCAGTTGTATTCTTCAGGATGATTGGGTATGGTTTTCTGATCTCCATTAACTGCCAAGCATATCAGTCATAGTGCATTTGCAGGCTCTCATGGTATTCTGTTTCTAAAGGAAACATATTACATTTTTTAGCTTTTAAGCCTATTTTAACCTCAATGTGTTTTGTTTGTTTTTGTTTTGTTTTTTCAGGTGGTATTTTTTTTTTTTTTGCCAATTTTTTTTTAACAACAGATTTCTAACAATTTTTCCCGCATCCTGCGGCGTTTGAAAAAAGTCCTGATCGGGACGCAGAACCAACTGTTGAAAATCGAGACTGTCCCACCAAAAGCGGGACGTCTGGTCACCTTACTCGCGCCGCGTGTCCGTACCCCGACCACGCCCACCCGGCCCGGCCCGGGGAGCGCTGGCAGACCGGCCTTCACCTTGAAAGACTCGAAGAAGCCTCCGCCGCCGCCGCCGTTCTCCAGCTTGTCGTCGTCGCCGCCCAGGCCCAGCATGGACTGGCTGTGCACGTGCAGCTCCTCGTGCAGCGTCTCCAGGAGGGCGGCGCGCGTCCGCTCCTGGGGGCCGGCCGGTCAGGAGGGGCCCGTGACCAGCCCTCGGCCCCCCCACCTTCTCTGGGAGCGTGGGGAGTGGGCCTGCGCCCCCTGCAAGCCTAAGCTCCGCTCTGCTGCCCTCAGGCCCCAACATCTGGCCGCCTGTCCCCGCCCCCACGGAGCCCTCTGCCGGCCTGCCCACCCGAGCCCCGCCTGCCCGGGCATCCCCCTTACATCCCCAGAAATGCCCTGCATCCTCCCCCCTGACCCAGCCGTGCACAGCCCTACCTCCTGCTCCCCCTGGCAGCCACCCCCAAGGCCAAGATTACCGACGGAGGGAGGGGCAGGTCTGAAATTTCAAGCTGCGGGGAGGGACTCGGACCCAGCAGCCCATCCTCACCTCCAGCTTGGCAAACTTCTCTGCCTTGTAGCAGGCATATTCCGCATTGATCAGTTTTGTCAGCAGAAATTCCTGGAACTCGGGCCCCTGGGAGCCCCCAGAGTGGAGTAAAGAAAGGGGGGGGGGCGTTGAGGGGAACAGAAACAGAAGCTGTGCCCTGTGTCCCGGGCTGGAGTCTCCTGAGCCCCCAACTGCTGGAGCCCAGAAGTAGCCCTCTTCACTCCAGGGCCCCTCCCTGGCTCAGCTCCCCAGCCCAGGGCCCTGGGAGGGCCCCTTGTGCCCTTCATGGCTGCCCACCCCTCAGGAGAGCAAACCCACAGAAGTAAGGGGCTGGCTGGATCCGGGTTTCTGACTGCCCCAGCCTGTGGGGGACTGAAGCCAGGGCTCCAGGGTGGAGGAGAGAGACCTGTGCCCCTCCCGCCCCTCCCCCCGCCCTCCGCAAGACATTTTAGACGAAAGAAGACTAATTGTCAAGAAGATAACAGAAACGAGGAAGGGCCACAGAGTCTGACACGAAACATGTAAAAAATGTAAAACCATGACATAGTTTGCTCTGTGACTTGGTAAAGAAAGGCCAGCTTTTATCAAGATGATCAGAAAAGCCAGGCCCCAGGCGCAGGGGTAGGGGAGGCCCGCTGCCCTGGCACACAGTGGGGCTCCGGGACCTAGTATGGCAGAATGTGGGGCCCCCGGTCGGCCCCCACCAATGTGGTCCTGCCCGTGACGGGGCTGGGCAGCCTCTGACCTTCCGGAACACGGCAGGGTCCGGCAGCGGGGGCCCAAAGAAGGGCACGTCATCTCTGGCCGTGACGGAGACCTGCGAGGGAGGGAGGGACCGGTCCCTGTGGGCCCCACGCCCGCCAGAAACCCTTCATTCCCCTCCCCATCCCGTCCCGTGGGCCTGCTCCTGGGTGGGGGGTGTTCGGTGGCTGAACCCCAGGATCTCAGCGCCTCCGTGCTGGGCCCTGGATCTGAGTGGCGGGAAGGGGTCTCGGGAGCCATCGGGGATGATGAAGGGGGAAGAGGCTCACGGGTCTCTCTGAGAGGGGAACTATGGGGAGCAAGAGCGGGACTGAGAGCCCTCAGGACAGCCCCCCTATTTACAGCGGGGAAAACCGAGGCCTCATCCCGGGAGGCTCTGCGGTCACCCACCTTATAGAGGGGGCCGTCGGGGCCCCCGCCCTCGGCCTGCACCACCACGTAGGCGTGCAGGAAGTTGGACGCGATCATGTCCGGCACGAAGGGCGTGTTCTCGTCCTGGAAGACCACGGCGACGATGTCATTCCCGATGTGCCGCTTTCGCTGCAACTGAGCACAGGGCACGGCCTTCACCGCCTGGCCAGCAGGGGAGGGGGGCGGGGGGGCGGGCCACGGGGCGAGGCGGGTGCAGGGGTGTGGGATAGGCAGGGGGCATGGCTAAGGATTCGCTTCTCCCTCCAAAAACATGGTGAGGATCTTGTCTTCAAATTATTTTCCTTTTTCTTAGAATCTCTGTGACAGATGAGGAAACCGAGGCCACGAGAGATAGGACTTGCAAGGCCCTACAGTGAGTGAGGGGACTCGAACCCAGGGCTCCTGATCCCTAGGCCCTACTTCTCAGCCCTTCTTCTTCTAAATGCCCCAAACCTGGCCCACCCCCCCTGAACAAACAGGTTCCACCCAGTATAAATTCATGTGGCTAAAATGGACAGAAAATCTTCTTAAAAGAAAAGAAAATGAGAGTAAAAGTAAGAAATAAATGTTTTCATTTGTTTCTCACATGACCGTTTTCTCCCCTGGGCTGGGGGTGGAGTGGGGGAAGGCAGAGAGTCCTGCAGGCCGCTCAGGGCAGAGTGACAAATCTCTTAAGTTCAGCTCCCAGACCACACTCTGCCCTCCTCAGCTCCGGACCTCTCTCCACCTACAACGGGGACTCCCTCACTGCTCCTGAAAGCTTTTCCTGACTCTCACCTCTGCCAAGTCTAAGAACCCCCACATGACCCCACAATGCCCTTCACTCCCAGGAAAAATACTCCTATTTGCTGAGCTTTTGCTCTGCCAGACACTCTTCTCGCCACTGTATGTGTATCCTTCATGTATGCTCACCTACCCCATTACTACCCCATTTCACAGATGGGAAACTGAGCCCCTAAGGAGGAGGGGCTGGATCACTTCCATCTTCTACATCCTAGGGCCCCCTGAGCCGGATGTGGCGGACACCGGACAGACAGGGAGTGGGGGACAGGAGGACAGGTGGGGGAAGCGGGTGGACGGGTGCCCAGGCTACCTGCTGGGCGTCCCCTTCGGTGTAGGGCAGCTTGGTGGACACGTGGAACATGATCTCCTTGTTGCGGAAGTTGCAGTACACAGACTCGGTCCCCGTCTGTCCGTGGGTCACGTCCAGGCCTCCGCGGAACCTGCCCGGGCCCCCCAGGCCACGGCTCAGTCTCCAGCCAGCCAGGCCTCCTGGGGGCCAGGGCAGGGGCTCCCTCCCTGCCCCAGAGTATAGCCTGCTTACCCACCCCCCCAATGCTCACCCCTTAAAGTCCTGCAGCTTGACCTTCTGGCCAAGAAACTCGAGGAACTCCACGAAGGCAGGGCTTTCCTCATTGGTACTGAAGAGTTCCTCCTCGGAGGTCTGGGGGCACAGAGGGCAGAGGTAATTGGGCTGCAGCACCTGGGCCGCCCCCACCCCCTCCCCCCCCCCCAGAGAAGGCTGGAAGGAGGACCTCTGGCAGCCCCGGGAAACCGAGTCCCTGGGCAGGTGCTCTCCCCGCAAAGGGCTGAAGTCCCAGGTACAGGGAGCAGGGAGAGCAGGGAGAAGGAGGAGGAGGGGGGGAGGAGGAGGAGGAGGAGGAGGAGGAGGAGGAGGAGGAGGAGGAGGAGGAGGAGGAGAAAGAGGAGGAGGGGGAGGATGAGGAGGGGGAGGAGGGGGAAGAGGAGGAGGAGGAGGAGGAGGAGGAGGAGGAGGAGAAGGAGGAGGAGGAGGAGGAGAAGGAGGAGGAGGAGGAGGAGGACGCCGCACCTGCCCAAGCTTCTGATAAATGACTCCAAACTTGAAGTTGTTGCTGATCACGTGTTCGTCAAAGGTGACGATGAGCCGGGAAGCCTGGGGGAGAGGACAGGGGCTTTCCCCAGTTGTCACTTAACTTGCTTTGTGCCAAGCCCTGTGGCTGGCACACCACGAGCATCCTCTCCTTTAATCCTCAGAACAGACTCACGAGGAAGACGCTCCCATGTTACAGACGAAGAAACCATGGCCCAGAGCTTGTCTAAGGCCAACAGCCTGCTGCACAGCAGAGCTGGGACTGGAACTCGGGCCTGCTGGACTCCAAAGCCCAAGCTCACTGCTCCTGAGTTTTGCCTCTAAGCCCCCATCCCTACTCGATGCCCCAACACCCAGGTCCCTCCTGGGCTCCTCCGTAGACCCACCTCCTCAGTCTACAACAGGCCAAGGCCACCCCCTCGCTGTGGGCCCTGAGCTCCTTCATTCCCTCCTCACTTTGGGCCTCCGTTTCCTCTGCTGTAACTGAGATGGAATCGAGTTTCTGAGCCCCTTCCTTCGGGGACACTTCCTGGACCACAGGACCCCTTGGGCACCGCATCTTGCTCCAGAATCCGGTCAGAGCTACAGGGTCCACCTGTCTTCCCCCTGGCTCGCTGAAGACAGAAGTCCTGCCCCTTTCCCACATGTGACAGCGCCTGGGAGTGCGGCTGCTGTCTGCGAGCAGCACTGAGGACGGCGCCTGTGCTATTCTCCCTCACCGGGTGGCCCCTGCGGTCGGAAGGCAAGGCCAGGGAAGCCCCTGACTGGGAACACCGGTTGCTCTTGGGAGGGTCCCCAAATTACACGGAGCGTTTCCAGAGAGAAGGCATGCCCCTCCCTCCCCACCCCACCCCACCCCTCGGGCCACCAACGCTAGGTTTAAATGCAGACCTTTATTATCTGCTGTGCAGCTCTGGGTAAGACACAGAGTCTTTCTGAGCTCTAGTTCCTCTTCCATAAACTGGCTTTGCAGGGTTATGGTGAGGATTAAATGAGACACTTAAGAAGAATGCCCTGCACGCTGCAGGTGCCCATAAAGGCTCAATGCCCACGTTACCCACCCCCTTCAGTGAGCAGCGCCCAGGGCCCGCCGTACCTTGGGGTACAGCACAGGATAGAATCGATCCACATTCACATCTTCGCACACCAGCTGCAGGAGGAGACATGGGGGCAGAGGTAGGGACTGGAGGAGGGGGGGCCCCTCTGGGCCTCCCAGGCCAAGGAGATAGGGACAGGTGTTGGCACGGTGCAGAAAGGAGAGAAAACCACCAAGGCGGAAGCAATACTGTGGGCTCCCTGCTGCTCAGAATGGGGCGTGGAGAACGGGGGTCCCCGTTTCTGAAAGTGCTCTAAAACAGCGCCAACACACACAGGCAGGGGACAGGGCCCCGCATGGGGCAGGTGAGAGGCAGAACCTCAGGGACGGGGCCGCAGCACACGGGGCTAGGCCCTAAGCTGAAGAGGAGAGCACGCTGAGGCTTAGCCACAGCCCTCACGCTGGGTGCCCGCCCCCCAGGGGGGTGCAGAGGGGACCCCGCCCCCCAGGGGGGTGCAGAGGGGACCCCGCCCCCCAGGGGGGTGCAGAGGGGACCCCGCCCCCCAGGGGGGTGCAGAGGGGACCCCCTCATGGAGCAGAGGCCTCACCTTTGCCATCTGGACCACGTTGGGGAACTCGGTGAGGCAGGAGATGGGGATGACATCGTGGTATGTCCGGCACTTGGTCCTGGAGGAGAAAGCTCCCGGTGAAAGGCTGGGCCGTGGGAAGGGAGAAAGAGCCCAGGGAGGGCCAGGCCTGGCCTGGGCACTGACGTGCTGTGCCGCCTCAGGCAAATCCCTGGCCCTCTCTGGGCCTCCATTAGGAGAGTGGGTGACACGAGATGAATTCTCAGATTACAAGACCTCCGCCCTCCCTGCTGCCACAGGGCCCCTCCCCTCACCCCTCTCACCTGAGCAGCAGCCGCAGGTGCTCCTGGTCCCCGATGACGTCGTATTTGAGTGAGAAGACCAGGTGGCCCAGGGCAGCGTCCAGGGAGTAGTAATTGAAATGCTCCTGTGGGGGGCGGTAGAGGCCAGGGGAGTGCGTGAGGCTGAGCATGGATAAGAACCAAACGAGAACGCCAGCTGGCTCCTAGCTGGGGTTCTTCACCAGGCAGCCGGTGACCCGGCCACAGCACCAGACGGGCCTGCATTCAAGCCTCACTCGGCCACCTGCCAGCTGGGGAGCCTGAGGAGGTCACCTCACCTTCTGTGCCTCAGTTTCCCAGTCTACGAACTGGGAGGGAGGCCTCCCCCCTGCGGGATGGCGGCAGGGACTGACAGGGATAAAGTGCCTGGCACAGAGCAGCTGTTCAAGGAACACTTATAGGAACCCCTCTCTGGATTCTCACCAGTTTCAGGACCCCGTCTGGTATCTCACCTCATAGCTGTGACCCAGCCCTGCCTTTCTTGGCGCTGAGCACACAGTAGGGGCTCCATGAAAATACGCTGACGGACTGATTGCTCAACCTGTGGCCCCTGGAGCCAGGGCCCGTGGGAAACAGGAAGTGAAACATCTCATGAACACCCTGGGCGGCTGACCGGGCAGGTTCCCGCCCTCCCGCCTCACCGGAAGAAGCTGCAGGTGGGGAGGAATTGGAGAAATATCCCAGCGGCCGCAGGGGAAGCCGCTGCAGGGACGGTTCCCCCGGAGAGGAGCCCAGGGCTGGTCCCTCCGGGGGAAGTCCCAAAGCCCAGGGCCGGGAGAGCTGGGAGATCACACCCCAGCCTGGCCTGGGCTCCCCTTGGCAGCTCCGGCCCTGGGAGCGTGCAGGCTCCCCAGCCACACCCGCCCAGGAGTCATCCTGGAAGTCAGTCCTGTTTGAACATGAACGCCTGTGCTCAGAGGGCAGGCCGAGGAGGAGGTAGGGGCCGGGGATGTGCTCAGGGAGAGTCCGAGCGCACCTGGGCAGAGTCCCCCTCAGCCCTCCTGGGCACAGAGCGATGGAAAACCCCAAGTGCTTGGCGCCATCTGCGGAGAGGGAGTGGCAGGCACTTGGCAGGGTCCTCAGGGTGGGGCGTTTCCCCAGTCCCCGAGCCTGAGCCCAAGGAGCCCAGGGGTGCAGTGGAAAGTGGGCTCCGGGTCCCAGAAAGTCAGTCCCCAAAGTTAACCTGACCTCCGCCCTCTGCCAGGACAGGCCCGGTGCTCCCCCAGTCACCCCACCTGGAGGCAGGAGGTGGCCCTGGCTCTCTCCCAGCCCTCGGGGTCCCCTCCGCTCTGGCCATCATGCCCAACGTGCACCTCCTCAGGTCCTTCTGTGCTCGCTCTGTCCCTTGTCATTCCTTGGCAAACTTTTCTGAGTGCCAACTATGTGCTAAGCTGGCCCAGTCCCCCAGATCCCACCAGCTGCCAGACCCCGCTAAGAGCCTCCGGACAGTGGTGCCAGGATGCAGGTCTCTCGGCTGGAGGTAGAATCCCATGCCCAAGGAATAGCATCCTCCTCCCAACACACGTGTGTGCACACATGCATACACACGCCTAGCAACAGGACCCTTCCCAAAGCATGTCCTTTTAAAAATAGGACACATAGCTATAAATGTAAGGTGTATAACGGGTTACTTTGACGCATTCGTGTACTGTGATAAGATTGTCACTGTAGCCGTATTCATCACATTACATAACTAGAGGACAATAATGTTGTCTATTTTCAGAGCGTGTCTTGATGGAAGGTCAGCCAAAGCTAAGTCGATCCTTAGCCCAGTACTTGTGTGAACTTGACCATGTCACTTTCCCTCTCTGAGCCCCCCGTTTCCTCTTCTGAACGACTAGGCAATCCTGATCTCACGGACTCGTTAAAATGTAATAACAACAGCTAGCATTTGCCAAGTACTCGCTATGGGTCAGGTATGGTTTTCTATGCTTTAGTGTACTTTTATTGCCTGGTTTTTATAGGTAAGGCAACAGGCCCAGGAAGGCCAAATAGCTTGCCCGAGGTCATCCCATTAATGAACGGAAGAGCCCAGGTTCACGCCCAGGCCCTGAGATCCTGGAGCCACGCTACCACCTGTCGCCTCAGAGACAAGCCACACAGAGACGGCACCTGGGCACGTACAGGGTCCCCGCGAGGGACCTCCTTCCCACGCCCACAGACTGGTCCAATGACTCTGGCCTGGAACACCGCTGGGGGACCCTCTGACAAGTTGGGACCGGACAGGGCCCCTGCGCTGGGGGCTGGTGATGGGGTGAGGGTTACATCCACTCAGGTCACACCATGAAATGACTGTGTCTTCCCACCTCCACCTCAAGCTGCCTGAGGGCAGGGCCTGGGTCTGCCGCTCCACACCATGTGCCTTGAACAGGACCAGGCACACTGGCTAGACGCCATTCTAAACTCCACAAGCACCCTGTCAGGACAGCCTTGCAGCAGCCTTCTGAGGCGGTACCGCCATCACTTCCATTTCCACAGCTGAGGACACAGGCCCAGGGGGGTCAGCCACCGGCCGGCAGTCCCACGCGGTGAGTGGCAGAGCCGGGACGCAGGCCCCGGAAGCATCCCTGCGATTGGCCATTCCGCCCTAAGACTGCTTTTTGCAACAGTTGTTTGTTGAATGAATGAGTGAATCCACTAGGCAAGCTCCCTGAGACTCCGGGCTCTGGGACCGTGTCACCCAGCCCCCGCCCGAGGGCTCTCTCCCTCCCAGGCCCGGACCCCCATCCCGGCGGGCCACCCACCTTGCCGAGAAAGTGCTTCCGGTAGATGCGGGCGGTGGGGTTGCACTCCAGCTTCACCTTGGCCGTGGGGGACTGCTGAGGCTCTGTCTCGGGGATGCTGGTGATGTCGTGGTTGGTGCCTTCAATCCAGTAGCCCCCAAACTGGGGCAGCAGGATGAGGGGGAAAGGCCCCTCTCGCCCCAGGACCTGAAGGGGGACTCGGGTGAGAGCCACTCACACTACATCCCACCGGGGGACCCCAGGACAACTCCCCAACGCAGACCTCCGGACAACCCAGAGACCACGTGGGTCCCACACCACAGGGAGCCCCAAGTCCCGTTCTCAAAGGGTGGGGTGGGGATGGGTAGAGCCAGGAGCAGGACCTTGGCAGAGGCTGAATGTTTGGCTCAGAGGCCTTGGGTTCAGATGCGCTCAGAAGTCCTTGGCCTATAAACGGGGTCTCTCACGGAGGTTCGACTCCGGAGAGGGTGGAGAAGGGGCCTCCCGACTCCCCGTGGGAGTGCCTCCCGGCTGGGGGTGAGGGTGGGCTCAGGGGGCTCCAGGGGGTTACCTCATGGACACTTGGGTAGGGAATGTAGTCCTCCTCCGTCTGCAAAACACAAGCAGGGCCGAGGCATGGCGGGTTGGCTCCATGCCCCTTCCTCCCAGCCTCCCACAATGCTCCTTGTTCGGCCAGCAGCAGGCTGGGAGCATCTCCCCACCTCACAGGTGGGGCAGGGCTTGCTTTGGGGTGACCCCGCGAGGCTGGGCTGAAGCAGGCTTAGCTCACTGAGTGCTGGCGGCCTCCTCTGGGCCTGGGCCTGCTGGGGGAGGAGGCGGCTCGCTGCCCTCCTCCCCCCCACCTCCAAGGAACCTCCAGACCAGGGGTTCTCAGTGCATCAGAACAGCCTGGGGGCTCAATTAAACCCAGGTGGCTACAAGCCACCCCAGAGTTTCTGATGCCCTAGGTCGGGGGGGGGGGGGTGGGGGCAAGAATTCACATTCTCACAGCTCCCAGGTGATGCTGATGGGGCTGGTCTGAGGACCACGCTTCGAAAACCCCAGCCCTGGACGAAAATCAGGCTTATGCCCAGGCAGCCCCTTTAATTCTCACCCCTGCACCTTGAGCCCACGCCCCCAGACCCAGCTGCCAGTTTGTTGGATAGTTAGGGTCCCAGATCAACAACCAGAGAACCATATGCCTACCTGGAGAGGCTACATGCAGTCCCCCTGCCCCCCCAAGAAAGATGTGAGACTAAACCAGAGCCTCCTTTCATCCCCTTCAGTCCCCGGCTTCCTGCCTGGCTCCTCAGGGGAGGGTGGGAGGAGGGGGGGCAAGCTGGCTACCCCTCCTCAAATCCCCTCCCCCTCAGCCTTTCAGGTAAGAGCTTCAGGGAGCAGGAGTTTGAGTGAGTCTTTCTACAGCTGCTTGTCATAACTGGCCTCCAGGAAAACCGCGTACGCAGGCCATCGTGTGAGGGATGGGGCTTGAACTCTGGGCAGGGCAGCCTGGAGAGGCAGGGTGAGTTTGCAGCAAGATGGCAGGGAGGAACTGGAATGAAGGCCCCAGGCCTACAGCCCGGGAGGGGGGCTCCACGCATCTCAGAACTCCCAGAGGGCCGGATGGAGGTGGGTGCCCCAGCACACTACTTCATGAAAGGGGTGGGTTCTCCTGGGCTGGCTCCTGGGTGGGCAGCTGTGCTGAGACTTCCCAGGCCCACCCCCACCCGAGTGAGGGAGTCTGCACGCTCTCCCCAGCCCCAGGCCCCAAGCCCTTTGGGGCAGCCACTGAGGAAGCCCAAGGGCGGGTCGAGGCTCAGACCTACTTTGAGGGGTGGTGGGAAGGAGCATCGCTGTTCATCCATCCTGCTTCCCTGCAAAGAGAGGGCAGCACCTCCTGTTACTCCCCTCCCACCCATCACACCCCTCCCCTGCTTGCAGCTGGGCCACCCCCCCTGGGCTCATGGCCCTTCCTGTGTGGAAGGGGAAAGCCCACCGAGGTGGGGTACCCCCCGGGCAGGGTGCTGCTCCCTCAGGCCTCTGCAGGCCCCGCGGGCAGCTGGTAAGTCACCTGGGCTGTGGGAGGCGGTGGAGGCAGCAGGGAGGGGCCGGGGGCTCAGTGTGGGAATGCCTGCCGCTGGGAGTGGGGGCAGGGTGGTGAGCGCGTGCCTGTGTGAGTGTGGGGAGCCGGGAGGGAGGCTATTGCATCTACACAGATACGTGTTGTTGAGAGAGGGAGAGGGAGTGAGGGAGAGGCCGGAGAGGGGGAGGGAGAGAGGGGGAGAGAAAGAAAAAGAGAGAGGAGGAGGAGGAGGGGAGAGATGGACCCAGAGGACTAAAGAAGAGAGGCAGAGACACGGGAGGGGGCAGGAGAGAGGGGGTAGGGGGTGGACTGACATTAGGGAAGCTCCTGCGGTCTTTCCAGCTCATCCCAGCCCCTGACCACCTCCCAGCACAGACCCTTGCACAAATAGACAAGGGCTTGGAAGCTGGGAGCTGGGCAGGGGAGGGTGGGCAGGGGTCAGGCAGTGGGGGCGGGGCCGCCTAGCTCACCGGCACCTCCCCCGCCCTGTGGCACAGCGCTGGCTGCCTGAGCCCTGGCATCCACCCCTCCTCCCGCTGTGCAGGAGGGTCCTGCAGAGTCTGTCATACCTCCTGGGGGGCTGAAGCGGAGACCCCAGTTCTGTGAGAGGAGGGGGATGGGAAGTAGGGAGGCACACAGGTGGAACCTGGGCCCCCAGGGTCAGACAGCGAGTTGGGCCCTACTGGTCCCCATCCTCTACCAGGACAGAGAGCTCTGGACAACACATTGCCCCGCCCGGCATGGCCTGTCTTCAGAGAGGTGTGGCCGCCCCCCCCCAGCCCAGCCCCCAGGGAGGGGCAATGGGTCCAGCCTCACCTGCATCTTCTCAATCATCTCAAACAGATCTGTGTTCTGCAACAGAGAGGGGGAGAGAGCGGGTCAGGCCTCAGGGTGGTCCGGCTGATCCTGCTGAGCCCCAAGGTGTCTGCACCGATCCATCCGGTCCCTCTAACTCTGACCAGCCCCACCCTGGGCCTGTCCACCCAGAGCCCGGGCCCCGCAGGGCAGCCCTCCCCACTCAGCCCCCTTCCCCAAAGGAGGAGGCTGGCGCCTCGGACAGAGGGGCATGACCCTTGGGGAGAGACACAGCGTCCCCGTGTCGCTACCAGGCTGGCAGTGCCAGGACAGGCCCATGCACCCGAGAAGAGCCCAGGTGCCAGCTCCAGAGAGGAGCTTCGCTGGGACCCTCCGGAGGGTCTGGGGTTCCTCCCTCACCCTCCAGCAGTGTGGGCTGGGGGCTGTTGGGGGAGAGGACGCTGGGGCGTCCCATTGGCCCAACACGCGTGTGTGCGCGTGCCCAGGCAGCCCTCGCAGACTGCCTCTCCTGTGGCTGGCCAGGGCGCACGCAGGGTTAATCGGGCATCTGCCAGCTGCCTTGGCAGCTTCAGCCTCTCCAGCGCCAACTCCCCGTGGGCCTTCCTGGAAGGCAGCACCGTGAAGGCCGGTAGGGCAGGGGCTGGGCCTGGGAAGCCCCCAGAGTCTCCCGGAGGGCCCCCCTCCCCCAGCCCCTCCCAGCTCCTGCGGCCCGGAGAGGATCAGGCTTATGCATGGACATAAGCCTGAGCTCACACACATGTGCTGCGGGGCTGGGCACCAGGAAACGCATACTCCCCCCACCCCTCTCTCTTGCTCGCTCAAACACACACGCACAGGCCTACACACCAATATTGAAACATCTCACTGTACCAAAGAAAGCAAACACAGTCCCACGGGGTCTCTGCACACCCACTCTGAGGCTCAGAGCTATACACTAGCCCACAAACACCCGTGCCGGTGTCCTAAGTTACACAACAGCACACCCCCTCCTACACAGGTCTGTATACAAGAACCACACACCACACACACACACATACACACACACACTCACAAACCCACCCCTGTGCAGACCTGCATGCCAGCAATCGCACACGAAGCTACACAAACACCAGGTCTGCGTGTGGAGACAGCAACAGGCTCTCACGACACAGGCGGGCACGTTCATGGAAACTCCGCTACAGAGCCCCACTCCCACGCACCTCCCGCCGGAGTCACACACCCTGCGGAGCAGGCACGAAGGACCTGGTCCCACCACACTCGGTGAGTTTTGAGAAAAAGGAAAAGCACATGGCAACTGCGGAGTGGTGATCACCAAGGGTGAGGGTCATAGCATGGTCCTCACACCCAGTTGAGTACACACCACTCATATTTCTCCTCTCTCTCGCTCTCTCTCTCTCTCTCTCTCTCTCTCTCTCTCTCTCTCTCTCACACACACACACACACACACACACACACACACACACCATGTGTACACTCTGAGGCCTGACCCCAGGGACAAAACCCACCCCATGAAATGCACCACGGGAGACACTGACCCATGGCCACCTGTGGCCACACCCAGTGCTTCCGAGCTGGGAGGATACAATCCCGCAGGCTGTTCGAGCAGAGACCACACACACACCTGCAGGGCAGGTAGGCAGACACGCCTGTCCCCCCGGCACCCTGTACCTACACAACTCCAGCCCAGCAGTGATGGGGTGCACCGATGTCCCCCACCTCATGGTGACCTAACAGGGCCAAGAGCAATGCAGCGGGAGTCACATCAACACTGACACATGGCGGTGTCACCAGCGTGTTCACACAGCAACAAGTGACACCCACAGCCACAGCCTCCCGGGAGCCACCGATGCCCTGACACATGGGGGACTGTGAGCCAAGTGCCCAGCGCACCACGCAAAGTTACACGGACACACACACCTGGAAGGGGCAGGGGATGGAGGAATGGTCCCCAAGTTGGAGCGTGCGCGCTTGTGCGCTCACACACACACACACACACTCACACACAGGCGCAAGCACACACACACACACACACACACACACACTCACACACCCGCACGCACACACGTGCACGCACACACACACAGACACACTCACAGCCACGGTCCCACCACCTGCGCCCTGTCCGTTCCGTGGGCAGTGGCCGGAGAGCCCCAAGCCCGGCCCTCGGGCAGGGGTGTGCCCGCGGCCGCCGTGGCACGGAGTCAGCCCGGAGCGAGCTCACACCTCCTCCAGGACGCGCCCGGGCCGGGGCAGAGCTGCCGGCTCCAGGGAAGTCGGGCTGACCCGGCGAGAGCCCCTGGGCCGGGCCACTTCGCCCCGATCCTCACCTGCCAGCCGGCCCCAGCGGGCAGCGAGCCCCTCCGCGGGCGGCCGGGGGGCGCCGGGGGCCGCAGCTGTGCCATCCCGAGGCCGGCCCGCCCGCAGCCCCGCCCCGGGGGCGCTCCGGTTGGCCCCGCGGCTCCGGCCCGCGCGCGCCCCGGCCCGGGCTCCGCGGCGCCCCGCTCCGGCTCCGGCTCCGGCTCCGGCTCCCGGCGGCGCTGCCTGCGCTGGGCTCGCCGGGCGGCCGGGCCGGAGGGGGCGGGGCGCCAGGTACGGGCGGCGCGGGGCGGGGGCGGGGCTGCGGGGATCCGGGGCGGGGACACCGAGACCCCGCCCCCGCCCGCCCCTCTCCCCCCAGCGGCCGGACCGCGGCCCTGGACACTGCGCCTGCGCGCACTAGCCGGAGCGTTGGAAGATTTGAGCGCACGGGGGTCTCCGGCACCCCCAGGCTCGCCCCGGCGCACCCCACCCCGCCTTCTCTGTCTTCCCAGACTTTGGGCACCCGGCCTCAGGGCCTCCGGGATGGGACGGGGTTCTTGGGACTGGCTGGGAAGCCAGGCAGGTTAAGAAGGGGGTTACCTTGGAGACTTTTCTTGAGGACCTACTGAATGCTGGACCCTTAACCAATCTCATTCTCTCCCACCGCCCAGGAGCTGCGGGTGTCATTCCCACTTTACAGGAAAGAAAACTGACTCTAAAGGTGAAATATCACGCTCAAGATCACAAAGCTAGCGCCTGGCTGGTGTGGCCCAGTGGTTGAGCATCGATCTGTGAACCAGGAGGTCACAGTTGGATTCCTATCAGGGCACATGCCCGGGTTGAGGGCTCGATCCCCAATGTGGGGCATACAGGAGGCAGCTGATTGATGATTTCTCTCTCTCTCTCTCTCCTTCTCCCTTCCTCTCTGAAGTCAATAAAATAAAATAAAAATATATATAGGTAATCACATAGCTAGGAAAGGCAGAACTAGAAATCCAGGGAAAGGCCTGGAGTTGCTCTCCCCTCCCTCCTCCTCTCCTCCTGTTCCCCAATGCCAGACAGTGGCCTGTTCTCTCCCTTCCCCAGGCCCCAGACCATACCTGGCTCTAACTAGCCCCTCCTCTACCCTAATTGCCCCTGACCCTGGGGGAGACACCACAATGCTTGGGGAGGGCTGCCAAGGTGCCGCCATATGGAGCAGACTTACATACGGGTTCCATCTCTGCCCTTGCTACAATTTGCTGGGTGAACCTGTGTGAGAACCGGCCATCTCCGTAACCCTCAGTTTTCCCCCTATAAAATAGGCTGACCCTGCATTGTGTCTGCCCCTGCACCTCGGGGGCAGGGCCGGGGCCTCAGCAGCTCCTTCCCAGACAGATGCTGGGAAAGCAGCGATTCCTTCCTGAGCTGTGGGCACATCTATACCAGTTGCTCTGGACCCTGCAGGCGCAGGGCTGCCTACCAGCTCAGGGACCAACCTGGCATCCTGAAGGAGCTGCTGGCACCTCCATCTCCAAACCACGGCCCCTGGAAGGAAGGCACTTCGCCTTCCTTTCCCCCAGACCTGGCCCCGGGTCAGGCTGGAGCCCCAGGAGCCAGTGGGAACTCCAGAGATGTGTGTTCCAGACATGGTGTAGCTTTGTTTTTAATAATTAACAGCAGCAAATATTGATTTATGCAGGCACTTCCAGGCCTGAGCACTTCCGGGCACCCAGCAAAAAGCTACCAGAGAAACATCCATTCCCACACTGGGAGGAGGAGGGACCTGCTCCTATCGCGGAGATGCCTGTGTGCCAGGTGGAGCGGAGGGGGTGGGGGGAGGGGTGCAGCAGCTGTACGTGTGTGTGTGTGTGACTGGGACAGGGTGTAACTGTGTGTGCCTGGACATCCTGCCTGTGTGTATTTGTACATATGTATGTGTACATGCTTGCATGTGTATGTGTGCGAGTTTCAGCACACATGTGCAGACACATGATTATGTCTGCGTGCATACATGCGGGTAGGCTGTGCATATATCCCCACGTGAAGAAACCCCTCTGAGGGGGCAGGGTAGGAAGGTCCTGGGTATCTCAAGGGGCTTCTCAATAAAGGGAGTCCCTCCTGGGTGTCCTGTCCTACCCCAGGAATGTAATCCTGGTAATATAATAGTTCAGCTTCCTGATTTCTACTTTCCAAAGTTACTTTCAGGGTTATCTCTCAATTGCAAGCTGGCAAGGGGGGTAGAGAAGCAAGTGTCCCCTCCACTTTACAGATGAGGAAACGGAGGCCCCGAGAGGGGCAGGGAGGTGCCCACTGGCACAAGGAGACCTCCTGCCCCTCTCACTGGCTCCATCACCTCATACAAGTGTGCAGAGTTAGGGGAGCTGGGCGAGGGGGTGGACAGTGCGTCGCGGGCCTGGTTCCCTCAGCTCCACCGCTGGTTTGCTGGGGGTCCAGCGGACTCGCTCACTCTCTCTGGCCCCTGGCTCCCTCCTGTTGAAGGAGGGTGATCCACTGGCTGCGGTCCACTTGGTTCTGGGGGAGGGGTGGGTTGTCGGGAGCCTCCCATCTGGGCTGTGTTGGCACAAATGGAGGTTTTTAGGCAGACTGGGTGGAGGCCAGGAGCCCAAAGGGAGGCATCTCAGAACTTATCCAGGAAGAGCAGCCTCAGGCTGGCTGGGCAGCAGGACTCGGGGTGACGGGCTGGTCCAACCCTCATTCTCCGGATGGAAGACTGAGGCCAGGAAGAGAAGGGGCAGTCCGAGGGCACGCAGCACTGGTGCGAACACAGGCCTCCTCCCAGATGCTCACTCACGAACCCGAGTCACTCCCTTCCTGACAAGCCCCATGGCCCCTGGAAAGAAGGCACTCTGACTTCCTTTCCCACAGACACAGGACCCCCACATGGGACCCCCTTGGTGGTGATGGTCCCCCACAAGGACACCATTCCTTGGCCGTCTGCTCTCCCAGCCCAGGAGAGGACCATGGCCTTGTTCCAGGCCAGCGTGCTTGGAGAGGAGCTTGGCAGGTCCTGCCTCTGCTACTTCCTGGCTGTGTGACCTTGGGAAAATCACTGCGCCTCTCTGAGCATCTGCATCCTCACCTGAATAATGCCTGCCACCCGGAGTTTAATGACAGGACCAAGAGGCATGATGCGTGTGGACACTCTTTTTTTTTTCTTTTTTCTTTTTTTAAATATATATTTTATTGATTTTTTACAGAGAGGAAGGGAGAGAGATAGAGAGCTAGAAAGGTCGATGAGAGAGAAACATCGACCAGCTGCCTCTTGCACACCTCCTACCGGGGATGTGCCCGCAACCAATGTACATGCCTTTGACCGGAATCGAACCTGGGACCTTTCAGTCCGCAGACCGACGCTCTACCACTGAGCCAAACCAGCTTCGGCTGCGTGTGGACACGCTTTAGAACCGTACAGGGTACTGCAGTACAGGCCTGTGATCCTTGGCATCGGAGAGGCCACAAGACCAGCCCTCTGGGCAAACAGCTTGGGTTACAGTCATGACGCCGTAACATCCTACTGTGTGTCTTTGAATGAGAAACTTAACCTCTCTGAGCCTTCATTTTCTCATCTGCAAAATGGGACTGATAGAGAAGGTATTATTTGAGGATGAAATGAAATGCTGTATGTAGAGCATTACGTGTCCACGGGGCCCACGGGAAATCTCAATCAATGCTAGCCTTTATTCCTGGCACATGACACTCTGCAGAAGTTTAATTCTCTCTCTCTAATCTGGACTCCGGCTCCTCGAGGGCAGGGTCTGTGCCTGGCTGGTTACTGGCCACTTGGCACCAAGCACGACGTCTGACACAAATCAGGTTCCGGGTGAACATTTGATTTCCATGATAACAACAGCCTCATTTACAGGGCTTTTCCTCCGGCCCAGGTATTGCGTGTGAAACGCGTTATTGGCACTTTTCCATGTAATCCTCACAGCAGCCCTGGGAAGCGGGCACTGCCGTTATCCCCGGTTTACAGAAAACTGATGGTGATGATGATGATGATGAAGAACATGAAGAATAGTTGTGCCCTGGCCAGTGTTGCTCAGTTGGTTGGAGCGTCAACCCATACACCAAAACGTGGTGGGTTCCATTCCTGGTCAGGACACACACCCAGGTTGTGGGTTCGATCCCCCCATCGGGGCGCGTGCAGGACAGATGTTTCTCTCTCCCTTCCTCTCTCTAAAATCAATTTTTTAAGAAAAAGAATACTTGAGCCAGTTTATTCCCGGCTGTTCTCCCTCACCCCCAGCCATGCCACAAACCCCCCCCATTCAACCTCCTAGCCTGTGCCAGTGTGAGGAACATTTTACCTCTGCCTGGTGCTCATTTGGGGCATCTCCAGACCAAGGCAGCGGTTAGCGGGCACTCACCTTTGGGTAGAGCGAAGCAGCGGGTGAGGAGACTGAGTCCACTCTCGGCAGGTCTAGTGCCTGAGGGAAGCGCTGGTTCTGCCCATCACTCCTCCTGGGAGAGAAAGAGTCTGAGGTCAGGGGGCGCCTCAGTGGGGAGATTTGTGAACTTGGGGAGGAAGAGTCAACCGCCGAGTTGGGGAAAGCGGGGGGTCACAGATTCCACGGAGGAGTGGGTCCGGGGCTGCCCAGGAGGAGGAAGAGGAGGAGCTTGCTGAGTGGGGCCGCTAACCAGGCTCTCCTTCCCCAGAGACCACAGATGCGCACAGGGTCTCTCCCCACGCGCTCCACGGGCCCTCCCTCCCACATACTCCAGCCAAGAGGGTGTCCACAGCCCGTTCTGAAGATGGGCAGACTGAGGCAGTGAGGGTTGCTGCAGATGGCCGAGCTCAGGCCTCTGGTTTAAGCAGGATGCTCCAGCCTCTATGGACCTCTTCCTGAGCCTCAGGGAGGCAGCGGCCTTCGGACTGACAGGCCGCTGGCTGTTGTTGTTGACAACAGAATTACCCGACTCTCACTGGGCCTACTGGGTGCCGGGCTCTGTGCCAAGCCCCGCTCTCTGGCCTGAAGGCAGAGACTGCTCACCACACTGGTATTCCCACCGGACAGACAAGGACCCAGAGGTATGTGGAGGTCACACCGCTGGTCAGAGGCCCAGCCGACGGCAAGCCCGAACCCTGTGCCCACACCACACCCTTCCCCGAGGAGAGGAAACTGGTCCGGTGAGGGTGAAGTCAGCGCCGTCATCCTAGAAAGCCTGCTGAGGAGGCCACCTCCGGGGACAGTGCTTCCTGGGACCCAGGGAGCCCAGGGCTGGGGAGCAGCCTGGCTTCTGCCGGCTGCCTAGGGCCACCCTGAGGTGGCTGTATCCACGCCCATCCGCCAAGAGGCTGTGTCACTCAGCCGCCAGGTGATCCTCAGCAGCACCTGCCGCTTGAGTCAGGTGAAGCTGGCACTGCCACACCCCGGGAGGGGGCGAGCCTGCAGGAACCTGGCCCAGGAGGGAGACCCTGAGGGGCTCTGGGCCCCCCTGCTGACTCCCCTCAGCCCACCTCGTCTAGTAGGAGAAGCCCCAGCCCTGTTGCAGCTCCCTCTTCACCCCCCGGGGGTGTGTCCTAAAAGGAAGGCCTTGACCCAGAAGAATAGACATGGGGACAGTGGTGGGGGAGGTATGTGTGACCATAACGGACACTCCTATCGGCCTCAGTTTCAAAAAAAAAAATCACATAGAGCCTGGGCAGCTACTATCCACCCAACAAATTCTTCGCTATTCATTCATTCATGGTGACCTCTGGCTCCCCGAGTGAGGATCTTGGATCTCATTACGTATTTGTTGAGGAGTTGAATGTCTCAATGAAGGTTGGCAATAGGGAGATCTTGGAGGTTTGGGGGCGGGGAAACAGCCCAAACACAGGTTCCTATAGATTGCAAGACCTGGGGAGAGACTGGAGATGAGGAGCTAGAGAGAGGCCTATACAAATGGCCCAGGCACGTCACGCTGTGGCTGCACGGGGACTCTTCATTGAGACCTACTGTGTGCAATAACTGTGTCAAGCACATTATACCCTCACTACAGTGCCACAAGATTGGCGTCATGTATCCCCATCTTTATAGATGGGGGGAAACGAGGCTCCGAGAGGTGAAGCCTCTTCTCCTAGCAGGTGGGTGACAGAGCCAGAATGTAAAGCTCACGCCCTTGGTGGAGCAGGGCCAGTGCCAGTGGGACAGAGAGCAGAGGGTGTGCAGGGGCCAAGCTGGCCCCCTTGGTGGTAGGGACCACCATCTTGGCGTGGCCTGGCTGCTGAGTGGAGGCTGTTGCCCATGATGGAGCTACTTGGGTAGTGTTCTCCGGTCTGACCCCACTGTGCCACTGTAGGTCAGCCTGGCAGCAGCTCCCTAACATGGTCCCCTTCCAGAACCCTCTCAGCTTCAGTTTCCCCGTGCCCGGGTGCCCATCTCAGTCAGGACTGTCCACGTGGGCACAGGACTAGGGAACTCTGCAAAGACAAGGGAGCTCTGGTTGCCATCCAGGGCCCAGCCTCCGGGCCCTCGGCTCTCCAGGGCTTGGCTGGCCAGAGTCCCGCTCCTCACAAGAAATGCCCAGCCCCATCGCCCTCCCCCAGGTAATTCCACCTAAAAGGTCATGCTTAGGCCCTAAAGGGCAGGGGAGGGAAAGGAATCCAGGATGAGGGCAGCAGGAAGTGGGAGGCCCTGGGCCCTGCCCGCGCCCACCAGCCCAGCGAAGGGCTAGAAGGGCGACAAGAACCAAAGCCACAGCTGACCTGTGCCTTCCATGACCTTATTCAATCCTCAGAGCTTCCCCAGGAGTCAGGCACTCCAAGGCGGCTGGCCTCACACTGAGGAAGCTGAGGCTGGTGAAGGGGATGCTGACTCGCCCCAGGTCACACTGTCCATGAGGCAGAGCTGTCAGGGCAGAGCCCAGGTTCTGGACGTCACAGAATGGGAAGCCGGCCCTGCGGGCCCAGCATGGCAGCCCGGAAAGGTAATAGTCACCGTGACAACAGCTATGGCAGCCAGCGCTGCTTCTCTCTCATTAATTCATCCAGTCCTCACCGGTCCGAGGCGGCAACTGAGACACAGAGAGGTTAGGCTACGTGTTCAAGGTCACGCTGTGAATGTGAGTGAAATGCGGAGGATTTGAACCCCTGACCATCAGGTCTAGGTACTGTGCCTGTACACTATGCTGTCTGTCTGTCTGTCTGTCTCTCTCTCTCTCTCTCTCTCTCTCTTTTAATATATATATATTTTATTGATTTTATACAGAGAGGAAGGGAGAGAGATAGAGAGTTAGAAACATCGATGAGAGAGAACCATCGATCAGCTGCCTCTTGCACACCCCCTACTGGGGATATGCCCGAAACCAAGGTACATGCCCTTGACCGGAATCGAACCCGGGTCCCTTCAGTCCCCAAGCCGACGCTCTATCCATTGAACCAAACCGGTCTCGGCACTATGCAGTCTCTTAGTAAAGAGCAATTTCTTGATGCTTTTGAAGGAATGAATACACTTAGCCTCTCGCCTCCCTCCCCACCCCTCTGGCCTCCGCTGCCGCCTCCTCCTCCTCTCAGCCTTCCTACCTCTCACCTTCTCTCCCTCACCTTTCTGGCCCTTCCCTCCCTCCCCTCCGCCTCTGGCCTTTGCAGACCTCTCCCAGTTTGGTCAATGTCCTCCCTCCTCCTGAACTAGAACCTCTCTCTCTCTTTATCCCACCCTTGACTCCTGGTCTCCACCATCCCGTTCACATAAGGTCCCCAGGCCTCCGCCCCTCCCCACTCCTCTGACAACCTTCTGGACGCTGTGGCTTGGCCCAGCTTAAAATGCTTTGCATTCTTCCTGCACATGTAGCATCTGGAAGGTGCCTGGAGCATGCCTTCCCTGCCATGCCCATCTCCACAGCACTCTGCAGTTTCCACGGGCGTTGTCTCATGTGATCACCACAGCAGCTTTGTGAGGTTGGATTATTACCAACCTTTTTCCAAATAAGAAAAAAAAAAAAAAAAAAAAAAAAACCCCACTGAAGTTCAGAGAGGCTAAGTGACAAGCCCCAGATCATACCAAGGAAAGGGCAGTGCCAAGGTCTGACTCCAGCCCAGGGTTCTTTTAAGACACGCATCACAGATGCTCTCTGCCCAGGCCCTCCGTCCTGCTGCCCAGCCCTGGCCCCCAGTGGCCTCCCACCACAGGTCCTGGCCCTGCAGCTACCGCCAGGCATTGTTTGGCCTGGACTCCTGCCTGCAGGTACACAACACCTGGACACAGAAAAGGTGGTAGCCAGAGAGGAGGTGACTTGCTCAAGGTCACAGGGAAAGCTGGAGCCGACTCGGAGTTTGGGGCAGGCACACTCCTGGGTGACCTTCAGGCCCCGAAGATATATGGCCACCAGCCAGCTGGCCCCAGCTCCCTTCCCTCTCAGAGCACCCATCTCTCCCAGCGAAAGGGTGCGACGGGGGTGTGGGGGGAAGGGCCCGGCTCCTGAGTGGGATGGGCCAGGCCGGAAGCCGCTGCTGACAGCTCCAGGGTTTCTTGGCAACTGTCACTGCACCTCCTCCCCCTCCCTTATCTCCACATCAAGGTAACAATAATCATCTCACCGCGGTGAGTACAGCTCTTTGTACTTCTCAAATGCCCTCTTCATCTGCTCACCCCTGGGAGACTCCCCAGAACTGGATCCGGAGATAAGGCGGTCGCTAGAATCCCCAATTCCCAGGAGGTAAACCGAGGCTCGGAGAGGTTAAAGCACCACGTCAAGGCCGCCCGGCAAGGTGGGGGCAGACTGGGGGCCAGAACCCAGGCCTTCCATCGGCCCAGGGCTTCACAGGCCACACTGGGGTGGGGGCACCCTCACTCTGCAAAACGCAGGTCAGACCCAGACGGGGTGGGGAGCTATGGGAGAGGGAGGACAGGTGACCAGAGGCCTCCCTGGGTGGTGACCTACCTGCTGACCAGGAGGAGGAAGAAGAGGAGGAGAGTGGGTAGGAAGGTCCTCTCACCTGCAAAAGTAGAGGTGAGGTGCCCACCCTTGGGCTGCTGTGAGCCATGGAACACAGTGAGCACTGTTATTGTGAGCCACTCTCCAGGGACCCCCCCCCTGAGGGGGGACTGGACTGTCCTGGGGGTAGGACTTGGCCCTTTGCCCATCCACAATTTGCTGCCCGGATGGAGGTCCCAGGTGGGTCTCGCTGCTGCTGGCTCTCCCAACCTCATCCACACACACACCAGCCCTTTCTGTCCCATCCCAGTCGCCTTGCTCTAGCCTGGCATGTCTTACACAGCGGGGTCCTGCATAGGCTGCTGCCTGGCCAAGGCTCCTTTCCTTCTCTGCTGCCCAGTGACCTATTCCGTGCTTGAAAATCCAACTTACACAGGTGAGACTGGTAGCCAGAGCAGGTGACACAGGACCCCTGAGGCCCGGAGCCTGTGATGGGGAGTAGGAGAGCCAGACAGCACGCATGCATGCTGGGGAAACCAGACTTGGGTGGTCGGGGGCAGTGAAGGGAGGGGTGAGAAGGTCGTGGGGAGACCAGCCCAGGACAG